GCTGATAAACTGGCCTGCTTTTTCCTCATGGACAATCAAATCACATAACTGACCTAATTTTCCTCTTTGGTATGGCTGTAGGAAGATCAGAGACAAATTCACAGCTAAGCACAAAAGTGAATTTCATACCTACATCCCAATTTTCCCTGATGTTAATCTTCTAGTTGCTTTATATTTTCTGTGATCCTACCTTTATTTTTCAATTTTATGGGGTATATTCTTATCAGGTTCCAAATATCCAGGGGAAAATAAAGTAGGCAGTGAATGAACAAATTAGCTATAACTCATCTGGGCCTCAGTCATTTCTTGCTCTTCTTGGGTAAAGGCAAGACAGAGATCAACAGAGATCTCTAAGCCAGAGCTGGGGGAGACCTGTGTGGAGGAGGTTGGATGGCAGAGAGAGAAAATACAAATGGAGATATGAAAGACACAGTTTGCCTCATATCTCCCAGAAGCATCAGTCTGAAAATGCCCACCCATAAGCCAGGTAAGAGGTCACCAATGGAAGCCAGGGAGGCCTATGTACTCATAGCCCCAACCTATGTATTGGCGACTGACATAGTTGTGTAGAGTTGACATGATTGGGGTTGGCAAACTTTTTCTGTAAAGGGCCAGACGGTAAATACTTTAGGATTTTCAGGCCATATGGTCTCTTTGGCAACTACTGGTCTCTTTGGCAACTACTCAACTCTGCATTATAGCATGAAAGCAGCCACAGACAATAAGCAAACAAATAAGCATTCCAATAAAACCCTTATTATTGGACACTGAAATTTGAATTTCATATAATTTTCACGTCACAAAATATTCTTCTTTTTTACTTTTTTCAAGCATTTAAAAAAATGTAAATAGGGCCGGCCCCGTGGCTTAGTGGTTGAGTGCGCGCGCTCTGCTACTGGAGGCCCGGGTTCGGATCCCGGGCGCGCACCAACGCACCACTTCTCTGGCCATGCTGAGGCCGCGTCCCACATACAGCAACTAGAAGGATGTGCAGCTATGACATACAACTATCTACTGGGGCTTTGGGGGAAAAAAATAAAAAAATTTAAAAAAAATGTAATTAGTATTCCTAGATTGCTGGTGTAGAAAAACATCAAGGGCCAGCAAACTGGGGCCGTAGATTGCTGACCCCCGATGTAGAGCTTCGATGAGGAAGTTTGTCATTGGGAGTATGTGTACAATTGTCACTTACTACTTGATTTACAATGCAGTGACCTCCCTTAGATCAATAAATTCTACTTCTAAAAATTTATCACAAGGAAATAATCATGGTTGCACTCAAAAATTTGAAAGGAAAGACTGCTATCCCATCCTGGATTATAATGATGAAAATAACTGAACACAACCAAACATCCAAACCAAACATCCAATAACAGAGGAGTGGCTCAAAAATTTGAGGCCATCTAAAAGACGGAATGCTATGCAGCCACGTCAACAGTTATTGTATGGTCCGGAAAGAGAGAAAGCAAATGCAGTCAAATACTAATATTTGGTGAATCTAAGTGAAGGCTATATGGGTGTTCACTGCCAGCTTTTCTGTAGGTTTGAAATGTAAAAATAAAGTTGGAAACGCTTTTAAAAAGTAAAAAATGTTTTTTGTGAAACTTAATAGGCTTTCACAGACCCATCTCCAGCTCCTCAGAAACTGTGTTCTCCGTGTTAAAGATAATAAATGTAACACCCGCTTTTCACAGGAAAATGGTATAGATTAACTCGGTAATATCTGTCTACCTACTTATTGTCTGTTTCAATCACACTAAACGTAATTTTAACTACATGAAACATGAGAAGATTTACAAAAAAAAAATTTGTTTTTAAGTCACGTTTCCTTTACAATCATCTTGCTCTAAGGGCAAAGAAAAGCTTGACTTGCTTAGGTTTTCAGCACTTGAAAAACAAAAACTTGCTTTTACACACATTTTGGGGGATCCAGCATCTGGGTTCTCCTTCAGGCTCAGACTTGGACTTGCTGGGTTAGATGCTATTATTTTAAAATCTAACATGGGAAATAAATTCATTCAATAACTTGAGATCATAAAAATAAATTAATGAAAAGCTCACACATTTAAATAAAAACATAGGAACTATTTCTAACTACAACATAGCCAACCTGGGGCGATGGACTTCAGCGACCCTCCATTTGACGCCCCTCTTAAATGAGGTGATTAGACACAGTGTGTTATCAATCTCTGCTTGAACCCCAGTTATGGATTGTGGGCCACCGTGCTGGAGTCATCAAAGATGAATTTTAGAAATTCTGTCTCCGTTTAAAATTTTTTTAATGCTCACATTCATTCCCATTACCAGGAGTCAAACTCAAACCTCCCGTGTGAAAAACCAAAATCCAGGACGACAGATCCTAGGGATGTACTCCCCTTTTGACAGATCAGAGCCATAATCAATTCTTGCCCCCCTGCTTCCGAAACTCTGACTTTTAAATACTACTAAACGCTTTACTCTCTCTCTCCACCTCCACCTGTGCGTCCCGCCTCCCGCAGATCCGCCAAATCCCATTAAACCCCAGCCCCACCAGCCACGCACGATCCCCATAGGCTCGGCGCGCAGTCCCTGTTCCCACGCTCGGCAGCCTTCCGTAACCTCATGGGATTCCGTAGAGCCCCGCCCTTCTCTTCTCCGCCGGCCCTGCTGGTCGCTTCCGTTCAGGACCGCCCCTCCACACCTGGCTATTTGGTTGGCCAGCGCCCTCGTCGTACGTCATTCATCCGCGCCACCCGGAAGCCGCGGTTCATACCAATCGTTCTTATTGCCGGCGGCTCTAAGGTAACGGCTGTGTTTGGGTGGCCCTGGATGGCGGGAGCCCAGAGTTGGGAGGGGCAGAGGCGGAACCCCGGCATGAGCCGGACGAGCCCGCTCCCAACACTGAGAGGGTGTAGATGTAATGCACTTGAGGCCAAACTGAGTGGTCAACGTGGTCTTCCCTCTCCCCATTCCTCAGGAGCCCATCATGGCGACGCCCCCTAAACGGCGGGCGGTGGAGGCCACGGGGGAGAAAGTGCTCCGCTATGAGGCCTTTATCTCTGACGTGCTGCAGCGGGACCTCCGGTGAGTGACAGCGTGGGGGGCGGGGCGTTTGGAACGTTGCACGTGGTGGGCGAGGCGTTTGGACTCAGGGCGTAGCCTTCTGATTGGTGGGCGAGGCGTTCGGAGCCCGGCCCCGCGCGCCTTCCGAGCGGGAAGGAGGGGCGACATCCAGGCTGGGACGTGGCGGGCTTAGTGGAAGGTATTTCTGCGCAGGCGCGGCCTCCGATGGCACTAAATGGTTGAGAGCTAGTTTTCCGAAGCCAGAGTTCTCAGGTTTGAATCCTGGTTTGGCCACTTCGCCATCCGTGTGAACACGTTGTACCTCGCCTCACCTTTCTGAGCCTCAATTTTCCTCATCTGTGAAGTGGGGGCAGTTGATGGAACCTTCCTCATGTGGTAGTTTTGAGTTTTCAATGTGTTGAGTCCTTGTAAAGGGTTTAATGTAGATACTAGAGGCTCAATGAGTATGAAAAATTGTTATTACGATCATTATTAATCTAAGCGGGAAGTAGAGTATTCAGAACTAGGATTATGAGCATCCTAAAAGAGATGGAGGGTTTTTCTAGGGTGAGAATGAGACTTTCTAATTGGAGAGAGGCATTGGGAGTAGAGTATAATAATAATAATACAAATAAATAATAGTTACATATATAGAGCTTACTATTTGGCAGGCACTATTCTAAGTGCTTTATAGTAAATACTCATTTAATCCTCCTAATGACTGTATGAGGTAATACTTGTCATCCCCATTTTACAGATGGGGAAATTGAGTCCCGAAGAGGTCACTTACTTGCCAAAGTCACACAGCTAGTAAAAAGGAGAGCCTGGATTCAAACCCCAGCAGGCTGACCCAGAGTCCGAATCTTAACTTCTGCACTAAAATGCCTCTTTTAGGGCATGGTGACATGAGGGTCTCAGAGGGTCATGATATGAGGTATTCCAAGAGGGACAGGGCTTCCTGTTGGTCACCATTTTACTCTTGTCCCATCATGTCCCATCAGAAAAGTGCTGGACCATCGTGACAAGGTATATGAGCAGCTGGCCAAATACCTTCAACTGAGAAATGTCATTGAGCGACTCCAGGTGAAGACACCAGGGTTAGATACCATTGTGTGGGAGGTGGGAGGGCAGGAGAGGGAGACAGGCAGGAGGAGATACCCCAGACCAAAACCTGCACCTGACCTACAAATTGACCATTGACCCCTACCTCTTTTTCCCTGGCGCTACAGGAAGCGAAGCACTCGGAGTTATATATGCAGGTGGATTTGGGCTGTAACTTCTTCGTTGACACAGTGGTGTGAGTGTCTACCCGTCCCTCTGAGCCCACAGAGTTCAGCTCCCCCCGCCTTCCTTCAGTCAACAAATGTTTTTCTGAGTATTTGCCCTGTACCAGACACCGTGCTAGGTGCTGGAGAAGTGACAGTGAATAAAATAAGACAAAATCCCTCCCTCCTTGAGCTGCAATTTGGGGAAGGTGGGGGGAGGGGAGTAAAAAAAAAATCTTAAATAAACTGTATGGTTTGCTAAACAGTGGTAAGGACTTCCCCCACTTCCTCTAACCACTGTTTCCTCAGCCCAGACACTTCCCGGATCTATGTGGCCCTTGGCTATGGTTTTTTCCTGGAGTTGACACTGGCAGAAGCTCTCAAGTTCATTGATCGTAAGAGCAATCTTCTCACAGAGTAAGTCCATTCCATGAGGATAGTGTCTACAAACACCACTATTCGCAACACCCTTCCCCCCTGCTCCATGGCTGCCTGGGATGATACTTAGGGATCCATCTGCCCTCCTCCTCAGGCCTAGGGCTGAGGAAAGTGGGGATGCAAGGCTCAGCCCCAGGTATAGCACATAATAAGCACTCAGTAAATGTTCATTCACACAAACATTTATTGGGCATCTGCTGTATGCCAGGCTCTGTGCTTGGCAGTGGGGAGGCAGCAGTGAACAAGACAGAAGGTTCCTTGAAGGCTTAAGTTATAGAAGGACTGTACTGTTACACACAAGCACAGTTTTGACCAGATCCGGGAGGTCTCACCCTTTAAATCAGTAACAATAAAACGAGTTACCTCTGACTTCACCTCCTGCTAATTCTCCCACTCGTTCGCTCTGCTCTCACTACATTGACCTTCATGGGCATCTTTAAACACTCCCAGGATGATCCCACCTCAGGGCCACCCCACTGGCTGTTCTGCCGGCAGCACTCTCCCCAGATGCCTGCATGGCTTCCTTTCTCCTCACTCAATTGAAGTCTTGCTTAAATGTCACTTCCTCAGCGAGGCCTTCTGTAACCTAACTTTAAAATTGCAAGCCCCGGTACTCCTGATTCCCCTTCCTTGTTCTACTTTTTCTTTTTTCCATAGCACTTGTGTCCTCCTCATGTTTACTGTGTAATTTACTTCTTTCTAATGTGCATTGCTTTCTTCCATTAGGCTATAAACTTTATAGAGGGAGATATTTTGTCTATACCCCAAGTGACTAGAATAGTGCAGAGCATATAGTAGGCACTCCGTGTTTGTTGAATGAATTTAAAAAGGTATGCTGGAAACAGATTGAAGCAGATCTCTGTTGGTGGTGATGGGGAGGTAATGTGGAGGGAAAGTATGGGCTCTGGTTGAGTTTAAGGTTTTGTTCAGGGAAGGGGAATTGGGAGTGTAGATGAGAGGTTTGAAATGTAGCTCGGGAAGGCCTCCTAGAGGAAGTGACATTTGAGTCACTTGGTTGAGTGAACAAGCCATGGGGCTATCTGGGGAAGAGGATTCCTGGCAAGAGGACCAGTGTGCCTGTTGTATTAGAGGAACTGGCAGGAGAGGCGAGCGTGGCTCGGCTGGAGTGTGGGAGGGGATGCTGAGCATTACACTTCAATTAACATCTCACAAGTGAATACCACAGATAGAAAATTCCTTCTGGGTTATATTTATCTTTATTCCTACGAATAAAGATTTCAGAGTTGTTTCTTCCAGAGTTGCCTCCCTTAGGGTTTCAGTAATTCTTTTCTTTTCTAACCTTTCCAGAGTTTCAGTGTTAGTAGACCCAAAAGAGCCTCAGACCTGCTGAGATTTCTAAATCTTAGATTTCTCAATTCTTAAGTTGTCAGTGCCTGTCTCCTTGTCTGGTCTTTTTAATATATTGACCTGGTCTATTAGTGTGATGAGAAATGTGATTGAATCTCTTATTACTTTATTATAATTAATAGGACTCCCTAGAAGTTTAATCTTTCTAGGAAATGGGGATTCGAGTCTGTGTAGCTCACTCTCCTCTTTAAAATACTTGGTGACTTGGGATACACTTTGAACTAACTTTCTTTCAGATTATTTTATGTAACCAAACAATCTGTCAGTCCTTCCTGTTCTTAGTATATTTCCTTGTTTGGGGAATGGGAGGATCAGGTCTCTGTGTATATTCTTTCCTGATTACACAGAAAGGAGTACATATCCACACTGCCTTACGTATTAAATCAGTAGCAATAAATTAAACGTATCCCTTTTGTGTTACAACTAGCATTTGGTGATCTTTCTATTTTTCTCCTTTTTTTTAAGTGTTGAACTCATAGCCTTTCATAGACTAAGCTTGTACCATTAACTAATTTTGTTCTCTTCTTTGATTTCAAATTGTCCCTTAGAAGCTGATCAAGATCGTTCATCTGTTCTCTGAGGGGCACCCCTGATATTCTTGCAAGCATTCTTGCTCTCTAGCAACAACACCATGCTCCATTTGTTTCCTGTCCTTAAACGTAGACTCAACCACCTTTTGAGGACTTCAGGTCCCTTTGAGTGGAGTAGTCATTCACTTATTCATTCAGCATACATTGGGTGCCTACTGTGTGCCACACACTATTTTGATTCTCCAGCCACACTGGTCTCTTTGCTGTGCCTCAGATATGCCAGGTACACTCCCACCTCAGCGCCATTGCTGCTGCCCTGTGTCTGGCACACTCATCCTCCATATAGCCACATGATTTGCTTCTTCATCTTAAGTCTTTACTCAAATGCTTCTCAGTGAAGCCATCCCTAATCACTCTAAGTAGAGTTGCAGCCCCCACTCCTGCACTCCTTATCCTCTCTTAGCATTTAATTTTTTCATTGTACTTAGAACCATCTGACGTACTCTATATTTTGTTCCATCATTTGTCCCTCTTAACGAGAATTTGAGCTCCGTGAGGCCACGATTTTTGTTTGCTGTGTTTGCTGCTCTCTCCTCAGTACCTAAAACTACCTGGCATAGAGTAGAGATTCAAGAAATGTCTTTGAATCAGTGCAGTCCAGATGGTGGCCAGGCATCTCTGCACAGAAGCAGGTCAGCTAGTAGGATGTCCTACCACCTGCCCTGGGGAAGTGATCCAGGATGGAGGTAGTTCTTGAAGTGATGAGGAATCATCATCCTCATGATCATAAGTGGGGTCCACTTCGCCCCTTCTTGTTTCTTTTCTCCAGGCTCAGCGACAGCCTCACCAAGGACTCCATGAATATCAAGGCCCATATCCACATGTTGCTAGAGGTGAGAGCAGCTCACCCCACTCTCAGACTCTGTCTCCAAATGTTTAGGGTGGTGACTTGAGGAAGGGAGGGGACTAGAGATGGGAATGACCATCTTTCCCTCTAAACTGGAACGAAGCTGGAGCCAGGCTGGCCCTGAGGGAGGGGATGTCAGAGCAAGCCTGGAGCGGGGCCTGGACGCAGTCTCTGTTCAATCTATTCTCTCCTCTTTTTCAGGGGCTTAGAGAACTACAAGGCCTGCAGAATTTCCAAGAGAAGCCTCACCATTGACTTCTTCCTCCTTCCCCTGACATTAAAAAGCCTGAATGCCTTTGAGTCACGTGGCCCTTCTTTTCCCCCTTAGCCCCCCCTTTTTGCTCAGTTGTCCTGTATCTAAAGCACAAAGTTACTAGGAGGCCCAGAGATCCAGTCTCTATGTGGAACATTTAAAGCCCCCCTGAAGTCCCACCTCCAGCCTGTTGCCTGGCAGCATTTGACACCTGACTTTCTGCTCTGCCCTCTCTTGTGTTGCCTTAGCAACCTGGGCCTCCATCTGACACTTCTATTTCTTTTCCTGAACACTACTCTTTGAATTACCATAGAGAATGGGCCGATTCAGGGTGGAGGTTTGTTCCCAAGGCAATCAGCCTTTCACTCCTGGCCCTAAGGTTTACCCCTCTCCCACACCCCAGTCATTCCTCAGGTACCTTCAATTCTTAAATTACACCCACCGCCGTCTTGGCTTCTAAATACTTCCCAGTTTCCACCAATGGGCGCAGAGCCGATCCCACCCTCCTTGGTCCGGCCCCTATTCTAGGTTGAGTCCAGCTTCCGTCAATCAATGCAGAGCCAGGTTCCGCCCCTTTATAACTGGCTGCAGTTCGACCCTGCCCTGCTCGTAGGCATTTAGTTTCCGCCCTGAACGCTCCTTGGCGTGTCTGGCAGCTGCCCTGCCTTCCTACCTCTGCTGCGTTCTAAATTCGTGTTTTCTAGCCAATCACTATAGAGTTACCCTGCCCGCCTACGCAGAGCCCTGACCCGATCCCCCTCCCGGCAGGCTGTTACGCTTATTCTATACAAGTCCTGCTTCCGCTGAGCAGCGTGGAGTGCAGCACCGCCCCGTTGCTGTTTTGGCAGCTGTCTAGGAGTCCCTCATCCGCCAATCAGCAGGAAGCACAAGCACCCACCCCTATCCTCGGTGGCTGTCTTCCATCAATCCCATATAGGCCAATCAGTGCGAGGCAGGCGCCCCAGGAAACTAGGCAATTGCCGATTGTCTATCAGTCTTTCTTGAGCCAATCAGCGTGGAGCACAGGCCGGGCCGAGCACACCCCCTTGGAACCAAGACGGCTGTCTGCGTTCCATCACTTCCCCTTGGGCCAATCACGGCATAGCTCTGTGGGGCAGGGCCCGCCTCCCCAACCCTGTAAGCCGCGCGCTCGATCCATGGCGCTTTGGCCAATCATTGAGAGGCGGATCGTTCGGCTCCTCCTCCACGGGCCCACGTGAGTGGTGGGGAAACGCAGGGGCGGCTTCTAGGTGCCGCCGCCGCCGCCGCCGCCGCCGCCGCCGCCGCCTCGGAACCCGGGCCTGGGGGGCGGTGGGGCCGCGCATGGAGCCCCCGCCCCCCGGAGCTGCCAACATCGCTCCTGCGCTACGCACAGGTGAGCCCGGGGTCTGGAGGGTAGAGGGCCCGGTCCGTGACCCCACGTATCCTTCCCGCCCCCGCGCGAGGGACGTGGCTTGGCCCGTGGCCTGCTGGTGTTCGACTCCCCACCGCCACCACCGCGGCTGGTGGACCTGCCTGTGGCATTGTCCCCTCTCTTCGCCCCTTGTAGTGGATCTGACCGTGGCCTAACCCCTTTTCCTGTTGTATAATGGATCGGTCTGCGTGCTTATATTTCTCCCCACCCCACCTTACAGTGGACTCGTCCGTGGTCTTGCCCCCACCCCCACTTATAGGGGACCAGTCTCTGGCCTTGTCTAACTCCTTGACAGTAGGTGCGTCTGAGTGTTTGTATTTCTCCTGTCCTCAACTTTCAGGGGCCCGGTCTGTGGCCTTGTTTGTTCCACCCCTTCTGTTTCTTGTAGAGAAGCAATCCGTGGCGTTGTCCCCCCTCACTCCTCTTTAACAGTGAGTTAATGTGTGAATTTGTATTCCTGTCTCCTCCAGTCCTCCAGTGTATCAGTCCATGGCTTTATCGCACACACACCCATTTTACAGCGAATCAGTCTGCATGCTTGTATTCACATCCCCCTAGTTATCAGCCCATTGCCCTGTCCTCCCTTTTTTGTAGACTGTCACTTCAGTCCTTGGGCTTCTCCCATCCTTTTAATAATGGCTCAGTTTAGTGCTTTTTATCTCCTTGTTTTCAGTAGCCCAGTCCATGGCCTTGGCCTGATCTCCTTCTAATCAGTCTGTGTGATAGCTTTTCTCCTCCTCCACTTTTGTGCAGGAATCGGTGTGCCTTTCTGCTCGCCTTGCTGCCAATAAATAAGATAAGCCTTCGCACCCCCACCTCGCCTTTGCAGTGGGTCTGCTCGTTGGCCTTCCTGCTGCCCATGTGCTTGCATTCCCACCTCTTGGGATACCCTCCCGTGACTCTAGTGTTTTGTAATCCCTCCTCCAGAAGGGTCAGCCTGTGTGCTTCATTTTCTCCCTCCTTTCCTTGCGGTGCATCAGTGGCCTTCCCTGCCCCCCTTCCTCCTTAATAGTGGACCAGCCTGTGTACTGGTTGAACCCAGGTCTTTTTTTACTCTAGAACACACCCCCTCATACACACTTAACCACTAAGACATTGTGCCTTGCTACAATAAATAAATAGATTAGTGACAATGCCAATAGGAGCTAACATTTATTGAGCACCTACTATGTACCAGGCAAAGTGCTTTATATTAATGAGCCCATTTAATCCTCACCACAACCGGATGATATAGGTACTGAGGACAGTTTGGCATGGCATAGGGAGGTTAAAAACCATACTCAAAGGGGACCCAGTAAGTACCAGGTTAGGTTGCCCCTCAGAACACAGGGTAATTTTTGAGACTCCCCTCATCCCATCCCACATGAGGCCCCATTCCTTAAAAACGAAAATAGTTCCCATGTCCAGGTTTTTGTTTTTGCTGTTCCCTCTGCCTGCAGAGCTGTCTCCATTCCCACCTTGTCTCAGCACCCATCCACCTCCCTTCCCAGCAGCTGTGTGACCTTAGTGATGTAACCATTTTCTCTCTGCACTTCTTTCCTCATTTGTAAAGTGAGGGAATCAGAACTAGAAGCCCCTCCAGTGTAAATAAAAATACCTGTGAGTTAATAATAAATCAACTAACCTCTCTGGCCTTACCTGCTACACCTCCCTCCCAACTCTGTTCTGGCCACACTGACCTCCTCACTCGTCCTCAAACATACCAGGTGCCTTCTAGCCTCAGGGCCTTTGCAGGCTGTTTCTTGTGCCTGGAACACTCTACCCCCGATCTCTGCATGGTTCTTTTCAGGGCTCTGTTCAGATGTCAACCTGTCCCTTCTCTGCTTGATTTGTCCCTTTGCGCTTTATCACAGTCGGACACACTGTTTACCGGTTTCTTGTCTGTCCCCATTAGGATTGGAGTCCCATGGGGGCTTACAGGTTTGTCTGCTCGTTCACTGCTGGGTCTCCATCACCTAAAAATATACCTAGTATGTAGTAGGTGCTCAATAAGAATTTATTTCATGAATGAATGGGAAAAAATATCGTTTCAGACAAATCAGGGTTGGAGAGCAAATGGAGGTGAAGAGGGCATATGAGAGCAAGTTAAGAGGCTAGTTAGTTGGGACTGTTCATTCAACCAACAGTTACTGAGCACCTACTGAGTACCAGGCATTCTTCTAGGTGCTGGGAATATGGGAGGGAACAAAACAGAAATTCCTGCCCTTGTGGAGCAGACATTTGCTAAAAGTGGGGGAGACAGACTGTATAAATAAAACAAATAAGTAAAATTAGGTGGTATATTAGACAAGTGCTAAGGAGGAAAAATGAAGTAGGGGAGGTAGGAATAGAGTATTGGGGTGGTGAAATCTTACACTCAGAGCAGGCCTCACTTGGAAGATGACTCTTGAATTAAGGCCTGAAGGAGCTCAGGGAGGGAGCCCTAATGTCTAGGGGAGAAGTGTACCAGGCAGAAGGCACAGCCCGTGCAAAGGCCCTGTGATGGGATTGTGCCTGGCATGTTCAAGGAACATGAAGGGGGCCAGTGTGGCCGAAGCCAAGTGGAGGGAGGGCTAGGAGGCGAGGCCATGGAGGTGACTGGAGCCAGATGGTGTCAGCCATGGTGATGCATAAGGTGGGGGGAGGGGTTTGGGGAGGGAGAAGGATGACACACTAGCTGATAGCTACAGTTTGTTGAGTGTCTCCCATGTACCAGAGGGACTTTTCTAAGTCCTTTACATATATTGACATTTAATCCTCACAGAAGCCTTTGAGAGTAGGTGGATTTTGAGGCTATTTTACTTCGAGAGTAAAATATCCCCATTTTACAGCTGCAGAAACAGACCCAGGGAGATGGAGTAACTTGCTCAAGGTCACACAGCTAGAACAGGGCAGAGGACTATGAGGCTGAAGACTCAGAGAGGAAAACAGATTTGCAAGAGCAGACAGGTTATTCGCTGCATTGGCTCACACAGAGGAAGAATTAACTCTGCCTGGGAGATACCGGAACTTGGAGATTATGTGATGAAGACTTCATCGGGTGCCGAAAGGGGGAAGGGCACTGCTGGCAGGGAGAACAGCACGGATATATCCTCAGAGATGGCAACTGGATGAACTCAGGGTGCCCATGATGTAGCAGGCCAAGCTCGTGCGCACCTCAGAGCCTTTGTATATGCTGTTCCCTCTGCCTGAAGCACCCTTCCCACAGATGTCAGCATGGCTTGCTACCTCCCCTCCTTCAGGTGTCTGCTCAGATGTCACTTCCTCAGGGAAGCCCTCCCTGCACACCCTGTGTAAAACAGCATCCTTGCCGCTCTCTAGGATCTTACCCTTCTGTTTCTCTTGATAGAGAGCTGGTGGTGTAAGGTGGCTAGGGTCACTGCCTGGAGCCAAACTGCCCAGGTTTGAAGCCCGGCTCTGCCAACTTTCAGTTGTGTGACCTTGGACAAGTTACTTAACTTCTCTGTACTTCCGTTTCCTCCTGTGGAAAATGGAAGGGTAATAATAATGCTCACCCCGTAGTGTTGGTTTGAGGATTAAAGGATTAAAATGGTGTACAGCACACAGTAAGGGCTGTATGCCTGGTTCCTATTTTTTAAGTTAATATTATTATTCATAGCATACACGTAGGTGTCTAGACTGACCATCTCCAAAATTGACCTCCTGATCTCCCCCCAAAACCTGCTCTCCCGCAGTGCTCCCACCTCGGTTGATTCCAGCTCCATCCTTCTAGGTGATCAAGCCACAAACCTAGAATCACCCTTGACGCCTCTCTCACCCCGTCTTATCTGGCAGCAAATCCCGTTTGCTCTCTCTTCAGATTTTATCCAGAACTCAGCCGCTTCTCACCAGTTCCGCTGCTAACACCACCATCCCTCCCTTGGACTATTGTAGCAACCTCTTCAGCCCCTACAGTCAGTTCTCCTCACAACAGCCAGAGGGATCCTGTTAAAATCCAGTCACAGCCTGTCACCCCTCTGTTCACAGCCCTCTCATGGCTCCTGTCTCACTCAGAGTCAAAGTTGAAGTCCTTACAGGGCCCAAAAAAGCCTCACTCGGTCCAGCCCCCATTGCCCCTCTGCTCTCATCTCCTACTGTTTTGCCCTCCCTCCCTCCTCTCCAGCTATACCCGACTTCTTTCTCATCCTCTGACTTGCCCAGCCTCTCCACTCTTTCACCCTGGCTGTTTCCTTTGCCTGGATCACTGCTCCCC